TTTGTTTGTATATTTGTGTCAAAACATTTGAAATATATGAAATAAATGTATATCCCACAGTCCCACAGCACGCTGAAAAATCTGCAAAAAACTGCAGTTTTTCTGCAAAGAATCTGCAGAGAAACTGTAAAGATTTTATTGCAGATCTGCATCAGATCTTTGGCCAAATCTTGGCACATCTGCATTGCAGAAAAACTGCAGATTGCAGAATCTTTACAGATTCTGCAAAGATTTTTGCAGACAGAGTTTTTTTGGGTTGCCAACCTTGAACGGTTCAAGGTAATGATCTGGAGAAAGAACCATCGTTGAGAGTCTCAACGATGGTTCTTTCTCCAGATCATTTCTAAAGATTTCACACTGGTGTGCCTATGAGTCGGAAGACCACGGAGAGTGCTTCCAATTGATAAGTGTCAGTTGTCAAACTGAGGCAAAGAACAAGCGGTACAGAGCTGAACAATTAAGTGGAGATAGATCTCTATTAGTTCTATTTGTAGTGCAAATTTCAAGTCTCTATCCCTTTCTGGTCATGAGATATCAAACACCAAAGTTGCCTAAAATCATGATTTTTGCTTGATATATGAAATACGAACGACCCAACCGTTCAAGCTGAAAGTTTTGTTGTGCATAGAACTCAGTAGTATGTACATCCAGAAAAAATTTGAGCTTGATTGATCAAGGCATTCTTGAGACAAATATTTTGTTGTCAGACGTAAGTAACCCAATAAAACTTCAAATGTTGTCTGAAATAAGAGAAATATATTAGCAATCAAAATTTTATTTCACAAATTACCATTCAAAATGGAAGCGTAATTTTATCTGTGTATATCTTTAGATGTTAAACATGATCCTACAAACAATGTTACAGTATAATGCTAATATTAGTGGCTTTCAAGCCAAATGAGTGAAAGAGCGTTTAATCAATATTATATTTTCAACACTTTTATTTGGAAAAGATAGAACTCGAGCATTATTATCTCTATGAAATAATGATGGACGTAATGATGAAAACAATACAGCATCACCCAGATGTTTTTGAGATGATAAGAAATACGCAGTATATCGTGATACGGCTTTCTAACAATTTCAGTCGTACATGGTTGATGGCTGATAGGTGAACTGCATTATTTTCTACCTTCAATATGCAATATTGGTGTCTGTAAATTCATTAGTAAGATGAAAATCTTTTCACCATATATTTATTTTATAAACGTTACTAATTTTCATTAGAAATATCTTTTTCCCTTCATGCAGAAACCATTTTCTATTAACTCATAACAACAACATCAATCTCTCTCTCTCTCTAGATATATATAATACATATATAAATATTTGTAGTTTTTCCTTCCCCATCTGGTAAAGACGACAAACAGCAGTACAAGAAAATCAGCATTATTCTATTAAGAAAATATGTTTTCTATGCTCTGGATTCATTCATTCATATCTTTAATCATTTACAGCATGACAAAAATAAATCCAATCGCGAGTAATACTAGATATTTTTTCATGATCTTCATATATATCTACTATTTGTCTATTATCAGCCCAAGAGCATTTGCTTTGTGAGCTTCGACACAATCCCAATTGTACATCTTTGCTTTCTTTTCTTATTTTTTTTTTGTTTCATAAATAGAAAAGAAAGAGAAAAAAAATAGATAGCAAAAATGTTATAGATTAATATCAGACGAAGTACTAGTTTTGCTAATGTTTCTTATTTGTCGATACAACCAAAATATCGGTCAAAGAAAAGAGAGAAGTCCATTTAGACATTTGTATAATAATATAATATCAAGCTCAAATTTTTTTTTGACTATACGTTCTTCTTGTTATATGCATGTCATATTTCTCGGCATTTTATAAAATAATGAGTACAGTATGGCATACCATAAATCGAGCATATTTTTCTTTCTCCTTCTTTGACTGATACATCATACAATATAACTCTAGAAATATTTTGACGTTAATTGAGAATTGTTTTGTAGTTCTTATTCTTCTTTGAAATGACCGGATGTATCGTCTGTCTGACTGAGTGACTGGTCGGTGTGTTTTGTACTAAAAAGAAGAAAAAAGATATTGTCTCATTAAGCGAGAAAAGAATTGTTTCATAAATCATTTAAACATCTATATTACACTATACGAACAGCATCACAACAACAACAACAACAATTATTGTTAAATATACATGTGTGGAACTCGGCCAGAAGATAATAACAATAAAAAGAAGAAGAATAAATGAAATGGACAGTTTTTATAACTACTGACTATTATTTAAACAAATATCTCGATTAAACTATTTTTATTTTCTCAACATAATTAACTGATGTTCATCAAATTTTTTAATGGGTGATCGGAAAACCGTTGTACTCAGAGGAGGAGCACCATGGGGTTTTCGCCTTTCCGGTGGAGGGGGACCGATTTATATAGCAAAGGTAGGAACGCATGATGTCGTTTATCACCTCTAATCATGCATGCCATATAAAGTCGTTCTATTCCCTCACACATAAATATGATAAAATTGATGAATAAATAGATAGCACTATCAGTTGTGAGATTAAAAGTTTCTCACAAAGTACTTCACAGAACTTTGCTAATGTATTTTTGTAGCAGAAAATAAGAATGTCATATCTGCTTAAACAATAACATTCCGAATGATGAGAATCATAATAAAGATAAACAGATATGCATAGTTGTTTATAATTTTATAAAAACTAAATATATGAGACCTGCGCATGGGACCAAAGACGTTTCCAACGTTCGCTCCTTTAGTGTCCACAACAACCGACATTTCACTCAAAATATTGATTTTCCATCCATTGTTTCCCTTATGATAGTATTGCGTAGGATTGACTCTTAATAGTCTTATCCTTCAATATTTGTTAAACAAAAGTTGCAGAGAAACTCTAAATAAATACGGAATAAAGTTTTGATGGCTAATTTTTTTTTGGTGTTGAACAAGACGTATCAACTACTCTAATCAACGAGTCTATAATGTCATTATATGACACATAATAACAATAGTCGTTTTTAACTTTCTGTCCAGGTTCGCAGTAGAAGCAAAGCAGCTCTTGGTGATCTTACATCGGGTGATACTGTTATATCGGTAAATGGGAGTTCAGCTCAATCATTACGAGAAATAAACGATATTATTGATGCTGCACGAGACCAATTGATCATCGAAGTACAGAGGTATGTTTAATAACACATGCATCGTTTCTTATAAAAACATCTTCTTAATGCTTCAGTTCTACATTTCCAATACGCGGCGGTCGTCTAGACTCAAGCTCAAGTTTAGATAAAGAAAATAGTCCTGTTCGTTATACGACCCGTACAACAACCCAAACGGATTATAATAAAAATCAACATCATAGGCCGTCATATTCCTCGTACTCACCCACGACACTCCTGGAGAATTCTAATTATCGTAATTTAAATACTGATCAACAACTTTATACAGATACTTACGGACGTTCGATTATAAATCCATTACCAGCGATATTTCATACAGCCACTGTTACTGTTACATCACCAACAGGCAAACAATCGCAATCACAAAGCATATACCAATCATCGCACGCAAATTCAAGTTATCAACCACAAATCTATCGTCCATCAACAAACAATTATGATATACCCAAAAGCTATTCAAGGTCAACCCATGATCATGGTGGTTATGCATCGGATACAAATGATATGAGACATTCTAATATATCGACTCAACCTTATGCTGTTAGTAATCGTAGAGCAGTGAATGTCACAACAAATATTCAACACAATGTACCATCATCAACGTATAACATTAGTAATAATGATGCAACTTATCATTCAGATTCAGAATACGTAACAAGTGGCCCAAGATATTACAAAATAGCTCGACAAACAAATTCATCGAGACGGCCAAGTAATGTCGTTCTGCCAATTAAGTCATTGTCTAGTAAAGCATATGATAATACGTCTTATATTCAACAACAGCAACCAACACCATCTGTTCAACATGCTGTTTCTCATTTCGACTTCAATCGATATCAACAACAACAGCAAAGTCATCATCAGGAATCGCGACAATTGCCGCAGTCTCAACAACGATCTCACATACATCATCTGCCACCACGTCTCGTTTTACCACAAAACGATTATGGATATAAACCAGAAGGTAAATTTTGTTTGTCAATTTAATTTCCGTTTGATTTTATCTGTGTTTTGCATATACTAGTTGAAATTGATCAAGAGCTGGGAGCTGAACTACTCAAATCTCCTATAACTAATAGTAAGTAGAGTTTAGAGAAACTTAGTGAGTCTAAAATACTTTATAATCTGATTTTAAGAAAAACGATATGCTGATTCAAGCTTTTTTACCACACCGTACAACACTTACCCAACCATTGAAGAACAAAAGAAAATGGCTCATAAAATTGCCAACATCCTCGAGGGTGATGATCCACTGAGTAAAGGACATACAAAATTCGAACGTCAGAGAGAAAAGGCCAATAAGTTTATCGTAGAAGGAGAATCAACATCGATTAACTCGAATTATCGTCCATTGAAATCGGTTCAAGCCATATCCCCTCGCTCCAAGTCATCTACTATTCCCGAATGTATTCAACACAGTCTCAATGAAGCACAATATATTAATCCATTGAGATACGTTGGAGCCCCAGAAGAATTCAAACATATACATATGCAGGTAAAAAGAAAAAGGTAAAATTTTAGTGGTAAAAGAACAAAATAATGATTGTACGATAGATGTTAACTTTCTAGGAACATGTGATACATAATAGTGTGGCGCCACAACTAGCAGCTGGTCTCGTGGCAGATTTAAATGAAAATCGTGGTAAAGGTGCAGCGTTGTTTCAAAAACGAAAAGCACGATCTGAAAAATGGGTGATAGACGAAAATAATGTTAAAAAACAATCATATCAACCAACATCAAGTTATATTGGAGTAAGTTATTAAATCAATATCTCATGAATTATGTTGTTTCTTTCTAAGTTTCACATTTGATGGGACAATGTAGAGGAGAAATTATAAAGTACCAATTGTAGGACTTAGATCTCATTTTTGTGTTTTATATAGGAAACAACAAAACCCTGGGGCCAAAGAGCGTCCAGCTCATGGAGTGGCGACGAGTCTTATTCAACTCCATCGTATTCGCCTGTTCGTCCAATGTACTCATTTGATCAACAACTGCCTGAACCAACCGTGATATCTCCAGTGGGTCCAAGATTTAGTGATTTTAATGTCAAGCCAAAAGGATGGCATTCAGAAAGTATGTCAAATGCACTCTCTTATTTCTCACTACCGGTAAATAATTCCATCTTTATATTTCAGATGTAAGTCTTCAATCTCAGCGTCCTCCCGTGGTTGATCAACGAAAATCTATTAATCTAAATATCGGTCCAAGTATTCGTGAGGGTATAATGGAGTCACATACACGTAGCAATTCTGTACCATGGTCACCATCGCCAACTGCGCAGAAGTCACAGGAACAATTTTTCGCGCAACAACAACAACAGCAATCACAAGAAGACGAATATTGGAGTAATCAAAAAGAAAATTTGCTTTCTAAATGGAAAAATCAAGATTATGTTCAATTGAATCAACATCAACAGCAACAGATACCAGTGACTCGTGAGGGTGTGGAAAATTTACGACGTCAATTAACGCAAAATCAGGTACAAGAAGACCATTATAACGACGCAATGAAAAAAGCATATGGAATTGGACCACGAAAGTTTTTTGGAAGTCATCCTCAATTGCCATCACATCAACAATCTCAATCTCAACAGTATCACAATCAACAACAACAGCAACATCATTTTACGGATTTATAATTATTTTTCTAAATATCTTCGACTCACGACGAATATTTGTACAATCTCGGTGAACGAATTTAATTTAGAATTTGTTTATGTTTAATGTTTTATATGTCAATCATCGTTAGAACGAAAAGAATATTTCGTTTCTTAGATGTTTTTAATCGCTCAAATAAGGCTAAATTTTGTGTTCTCCAAAACAAATATTATTTAATATTTGACTATTTTAACTATGTTGAGGAGAATAATTTTGAGATACACCCTTTTACTCCTCAAATTTTTTCATATTATGTGTATTACCATAAAGTTTGTTTTTTAGGCAAATAATAATTATATCCAAATTCAATTTTTTTTTTTCTTTTTTTCGTTTTACCTGTTAATCTTTCTCATAATCCGACCTTTTCTGCACAAGGTGATCATTTTCAGCAATTTGTCATTAAGAATAAAGTTAAAAGACACAGGTTACACAATCTAAGATGTGCTAGTTATAGTTTAGACAAATATTTTGCACGTCTCGATTAGGCATGGAAAATGTGACTAATTTGACGGGAAGTTGATTCATGATAGCTTTTTAGCTCTTTATTCTTTTATTAATGATGTTCAACTATTTATTCGAAAAAGATACAGAAGAAAATAATTGCCTACTAGATTACAGACAATTTTTCGATACTAAATTATAATTATGGCAGTAATAATAATTACAATCGATTTATTTTAAATTTTTGTCCAGTTCCCTAGTAAATGATTGACGGTAGTAACAGTATATATAACAATAGTGAATGTTGCAGTCCAATGTAAAATAAATAAATATATAATTTATTATTAACAACGATCATTGCATTTTGCTTTGTCAATGGATGTGTTGAGTCCTTGATAACGAAAATTTCCACATTTACCCAAATGCTTAAAATAGTATTAGAAAAATCAATTAAGAAATTCTTATAAATGATCAAAAAACAGCTTGTTTACCTCTGTAAATTGACTCGATTGTGTGCGATAAACTGTTGGCATTGTATGAATATTTGGTTTCTCAGCACCATAGTCCATGCTTGTTGTAGTGTATAATGGATTTACAGCTTTCTTTGAATATCCGTCCCACCATCCTAGAATATCAGAAAATATTATTAATGTTTATTCTTTGAAAATGAATACATGAACATCATTACCTGGATTATCAAAACGTCCTGGTAAATCAAATGTTTTATACTGGTCACTTGTCTTTTGTGCGCACGTGCTACCCATAGAGTCTTGTTTGCCCGGTTGCTTTGTGAATGCTGATGTGACATCAGCTGGGATTCTTTCTGATTGATACAGTATTTCTCCATTTGGACCAAGCTCCGTATACATGGCATTCGGGTTTGTCATATTGATTTTTGTTTAACGTTCGAAGATGATCAAATGTTAACTCTAATCAATGAATAACTGATAAAAAATTTATCTAAAGACAAATGAAGAAGAGTAACTTTTAGTTTTCAGAATTAATATACAGAACTTAGTGAAACAATTTCTTAAAGTATTGCAAATTTTCCGCAGCGTTTTTCCTTGGGTTCTCTCCAGAAGTTGTATGAAAAATAATTTGGCAAAATAGTGCAGAAAATTTGAGTGACAATATCGCGACTTAAAAGTTCTTGCATAGAAAATCGACAATGCAGAATTCGAATTTACAATCGTTTCTAGTTGGAAAAGCTTTAAAAAAGCTAAGATGTATGCACACGACTAAATACTCCTAGAACGATTAAATGTTTTTCTTCATGATCATAAGTTTAGTGTTCATAAAGTCGTATCTGAAAGGTCTGACAATACTTGATTGACAAGTTCGTAAACTTAACTATTCATTTGTTTCTCGTCGGGCATAATAATAGAACGTATATAAAAATTGCTTAGTAACGTTCTCGTTACTGATTACTTACACATCTATACATTATGTAGTCATCGTGCTTGTATATATTACAAACTTTCATGTTCGTTTTCTTAATGAAAATTTTTTTCATTAGACAAGGTAAAACAGAATAATCGGCTGACATTGACATTGATTCCAAATTCCAGCTTTGAGTAGAACTGTTTAATTCTTCTGATTTTGGTTGGGTATTTCTATTCAGGTTCGCCCATCATTACAGGAGAGGAAACCCACAAAAATTTCGATACTCTTTTCATGTAGGGCATAGGAAATTACATAAAATTCCCCAACTCTACAGTGCAGAAGTCATATTCTACATGCCTTTTTAGGGAAATCAAGTTTTGACTTCTCTTACACAGCACGACACTAAGCAGCAGAGTCTTACTTTTAGTCATTTCAATTGTTATTTCAATTTAGTGAAATTTATTCGATGAATGTACTACTAATGGAAGCGGTGGTAGTTCCTGCTGATCCGACAATTGTTGTTTTCTGCGTTTGCAGTAGTGGTCTCAGTACTGACTAGTAGTAAGGTTGTTTCGCTAACGGGTTGGGCAGTGAAAATGACGCCACTTTGCAATTCATCCCTTGGATAATCATATCAACTCCAAAGCTTCGTTCTGAGCTTAAAAGACGCAGAATTTTCTCTAGTTTCTAGTGCTGTGTTTAGATTAAGATGTACCCTAATCGTCTTTTCGCTATACTCAAAAGATCGGAAGTCTCAAAAATCTCAACTGCTCACCACTTCACGAGAAAAAAAATGCTTTATATCTTCATAGAAGTTTTGCTCGCGCGATTCAAACAAACTAAGTTGCGGAACTGCAAACTACAATAAATTCTTAATTGTTGAAGCACAAAACGATATTTAACGACAAAGTTTTAGAGCCGTAAAAACAACCTACCACACAATTGGGTCATTATTTGTGTTTGGCACCATTCCCTCCAAAGAAAGATATCTCAACTCTGTCATCCCTTACCAGAACGACGCAACCCATAGAAAGAAATGCATTTTGTAGAGCTTGAAATTCTGTATCTTTTGATATAAAAATAATAATTTTTATAAGTCAGGACTTTGAAGAAGTTTCCAAAATAAAGCACCATCTCGTAGGTCAAAGATGTCTTTTTGCTGTTTTCCATTTTTTAAAACAGTAACAAATAAGCGTATAAGAAAGAACACGCAGCGATATACTACGAAAAATTCTACGTCTTACAGACCTTGAACCAAATTTTTGCAAAATACTTAAGGGGGAAAAATTACATTTGAAATTTTTCTTTGATTTTGCAGTTGAGCAGTTGAGATTTTCGTGGGTTCGAGTATTTTTACTGCTGTGAAAGAACGGGATATGCTTATTTTTAAAACAACGTATGAATAAAATCTAGACACAATTCTCTATCTTTCTGATATAAAAATGGAATTTTCTGATCAAGTTTAACTTGAGGAAAAATTTTGCAAAGTGGCGTCATTTTCTCTGCCCAACTCGTTACACATAGTTGAATTCATTTGTCTCATAATACTGAATACAATAAGATGGTCTTGTTGTTGTTCTGACTGGTAAAGATAGATAGGTCATGGGAAGCTAAAATCACTTCGTTCTAAAATCACTTTTTCACCATTGAACATTTGGTAACTTGAGTCTCTACGGTAAAAAGCCTTTAAAATCAGCTTTTAAACTTAAAAATATGTTTTACAATAAAATATTAGTCAAATTTCGGCTAAAAAAGATATTTTGAAAGACCGTACCATAGATGACGCTAGTATACGGTGTATCGGAAAAGAAAATCGAAATTTTTGGCGAAGTTCACGATAAGTTACATTTCGGTTGTTTTATCTATTTGTGTATTGTACCTGAAGCGAAAGCAACTGTTGATACAACTGAACTTGTACGAAACTCACAGCGATATTTTATATCACTTTAGATAAACTCTTTAGCACTATTTATTAACATTTTTCGACGGTCAACGGTCCAAGTCGACAAAGGCAAAATGTAGACTGTTTAAAACACAAAAACATATTCATAACCGATTGATTCTTTACGTAAAAAATTATAGCTTTTGCTCTTTCAATCTATTTTGATTAAAGTCTATTAGGGCGAAGAGGACAATGAGGTCACAAGAATATCACCAGACTGTATTGACATGCAAAACTTAAATTACAACAGCCTCGGATACACACCAGTGCGGATTTTCCTTCGAAAAATTATTTTCTAAAAACGGATGAGCGAGAAGCACTTTTTAAGTGAAAATTTCAACGTTGAAGAGAAAGTCTTCGGTTCTATCTTTAAAAAAAGCGAACAGATTTTCAAAAAGTTTGCATGTTTTTGCAATAGTGAGATGTTTTTCGCTATAATTAAAAATTTCGAATTACGAATGATTTTCACTCACACAAACTCATTTTATTCTAACTGTCAGACTTGAATGTTGAAAGTGGCTGTGCTTTTCTTTCATCTATTATGTTTAGGATTACAAGATCGTTTTAAAGAACATCTAGAATTACGTGAATTAATTTGGCGAAAACATCGTATCGATCGTACCATAAAAAACTTTACCAACTAATTGAAAAAGCTTTTTTCTCAAATGTCGACTCGGATATAGAAGTTAGAATAAAATGAGTTTGTGTGAGTGAAAATCATTCGTATAGACTCAAAAAATAAAGTTGCTTAAAAAACAATGTTTTGGTGAGAGGTACATTGGAAATAGTGAAAAGAATTTTTTGATCGAACATCATGCGTTCTGAGGCTAATTTTTGGATGTGTTTTCTTGTGATCCTAGACACTTAGAATAAAAAAATTTATGCTGTTAAACTGAGCAATCTATTGTTGCATGGTTTTCTGTCTTCGAATTCGGAAAATTTGCACTTTCGATTTCTGGGGGATCGAGTGTAATAATTCACATTTAATTTGAATTGTTAAATTGAAATAGAAATTGATGTGAGCGAACTACATATGCCATTTTATAGTACTGATTTTGTTGTCATTAACTGGAACAACCTTTTCACAGATTTTTTTGTGATTACTTGAATTAGATGCCGTTTTTAACACGGCATCTATTCACATAGAAATGGATAGAATATATATGAAATGGATTCTATTTAGAAAGATAGAAATACGCAGTTCTATTCAAATAGGAGAAACCGCTAAATAAAGGAACAAAGACAGAAATACGTAGTTCTATCTAAACACGCGTAAAATGAAATAACACAGAAAATAACAAGAAATAATTTAAGTCAAATATAATCAAGAAAGATTGGAACTCGTTCCCCTTTTACAAAGAATAGAGAAAAACGTCGAAGTATTTCTGTGTGCAAGAAAGAGCTATAGTATGTGATCGTACTATATTCAATACGATTAAAACTCATTTGCTAATTAGAATATAAACATCAGTAATAATTTTAAGCATTCTATTATACTAAGTAGTCAAATACTTTTGCATACAATAAAATTGTTAGTCTTTTCTTTTCTGTTTGTAGTAGTGTGTGTGAATAAATCTTTAAATGGAACTCGGATGTATTTCGTTCAAAAACATCTTTATATGATTTTTTTCCGTAATTTTCAGATTACTTTTAATCTTATTTCCACCAAGCAAACTTCTTGTGAGGTGAAAGGGTTTTACAAATACTCTATGAATCTTGTTCGAGTGATTTAGGACAAGTTTCATCTTAGAAACACGTTGAAATTCCCTATCGATCCGATCTGTAAGGACTTTCAAAATACGGTTTTCAGTTAAATCGGCTGGAATTCTAAATACATCTTATGCGATATTATGTGATTCTAAGTTTTAACTTAAAATATTTTTCGTCCAATAGCACTTTGAAATCCCGATTCTAATTTCCCCATTAAGATAAAATTTTGTGAATGATCTAGGCTTGCAGAGAAGACTTTGATCTATCTAACTGTCTATTTTTTCCATCACTCTGTGCGCGTCTACATGTTTTATGAATTCACCCTGTTCAGGATGATTTTCGAAAATCGATGGATAGAGAGAATGTATCTCTTAGTGATCCAGATAAGATTTTCGAAAAGTTTTTGGATAGATCCATAGGCCATCATCTGCCAGAGAGATTTGTCGAATCAGATTTCAAAAACGTTAAAAAATAAAAAAGTTATTAAAAAACCGTAATTTGCTTCGCGTTTTTATTTCAAATTCGCCCTAATTAACTCGATAGGACGGAAAATAAAATTTTCGTTCTCGTGTATGTAAAATAACGAAAGAAAACAAAAACATAAGGAATAATATTCCTTATGTTTTTGTTTTCTTTTTTGACAAATTTTCTTATATAATATAAGAAAATTTTCTGTTTTCGTCTAGTGTAAAAGAATAGACAATATTACCTATTTAACAATGATGAACGAAAAAAGTTTCAGTAATGTTTTTCACATTTGTTAGCCTCGCGTTTCTAGCTCATGAATAAGCATGCACCAGATAAAACCAATAAATTTCACCTTTTAAGAGCCCT